GAAAAAATGCTTTATTAATGTTGAGATGCTTTTAAAAGACATTTTTATTATATTTGCCAATTAGTTTGGCCGCATAGTAGCTGTGATTTTAATGTTAGACAAGCGATCAATCATTTGCCTCGGTAATTACTCTGATACACATTTCGCCGTAACCAACAGCAACGAAGCGTACAGTCTGCGGTTACATTAAAATGCATCGATTTCATGCCGTCTTTTTTGCATTCCGATAAACGAAAACGTATCTCCAATTAGTTTGACTTTTACAAAGCATCCAATTAAATAGAAAATGCACAAATAGTTACAAGACATACTAGCCTAATTACACAAATGACCATACGTGACGTGCGTCAAAAGTCATGAAACAACCTTGGACATGGTAATCACAGAATCCTTATGTGGTTTGCTAGAGATGTTCCATCCACATCATTTCCTAACTTTAGACGCACAATCGGTCTTACACAATATCTATTATCGCTGTGATACACGTACGAGATCGAGTCTCGATTGTCTTACAAAAATACTACATCTACAATTCCAGTAAAAAAAGTATATTATTACTTGATGTTTAATTTATGCATAATACATATTAATAGAAAAAGTTTACGACTAAATTACTTGTTACCGTTACGAAAGTACAAAAGGTTTTATTTTTAAGTTATTACAAATTATGACACTCATACCCTGATGCACCCCGCTACGCGATAACTTAGTTATTATCTTTAACCAATTCGTCAGATTATCACCAATTTTATAAATGTGCGTACAAAATGTATCGGCTTTTACGTCGGAGTCCACGGGACTTGTACCACTAACTTGTATTGACTTACACTGTCCGCGAGTGCAGCTAATGACTGTAATGTAATATCACCTTTCACAATCGTATCGCGTTTGTTACTTTGAGAGCAATTAGCCTGATCAGATTGAGTGATCAGTCTACAAATAAACCGTACGATGAACTGCGGTGATACGGTACGGCTCCGTCCGAACTATGAAATGCGTACGAGCGCGACGCGACGTTATCCTACCTATACAAGTTAATACAAAAGATTAATACGAACTTACTACATTAGTGTAGAAAACATCGAGTATCAAAATATAATTAACATGTTTTTGATTTGCATCTTTTCACTAACCAATAACAGCCGTATACTAGAATCAGCCAATGCGTTTTTGGAATTTTGAGCTTATGGACGCCGGGTATCATTTGGATGCTGAATGTCACATTGATAACTAACCTGCCTCAGACCTGGCTCTACCTCCGTAAAGCGACATACTATAAAAATATCAATGTGATACTACACGGATCTATTCATAAAGTACTGTTGCAAATTATTGCTATCAACATTATCAGACTTATCGTTGTACAGGACATAAAAAATGTTTATGGGACGAGAAATGCTTCGGTGAAGGGACAACGTTTATTACAAGTATTATAAAGGCATAAACATGCCATCAACTAATTTGCAATGTAATTTGAATCTTATTTGGCGAGTACAACAGAACATTATGCAACGGACACGCGACGTCGGTCTACCGTAAACATTAAATGTTGAAAGCGGGCAGAGACAAAGGCAGGCATTACATCGAATGCGTAAATCTACGTTACATATCACGGTAAGATTTTAAGTTAATTTCACATACTTAGGCGTGGCGCGACCGCACCTCCTATGACCAGAATGTACACCATTCGCAATAACGCTACTCGCTGCGCACGAGCACATCGTTACCGATAACTAATTAATCGTTAATGAAGAGAACGAGACGATGACTAAACGTAATGTTAAGTGTGACCATACATACTTCCCATTCATACCAATTATTAAGTATTAAAGAAATCCCTAAGACTCTAAATAAGAACTACAATGGAAATAAGATTTGATTAACCTATACTCAAGCGGGACACAATACTTATAGACCAAATGAATATTATGCCGATGTCGTAGTCCTACTTACGGAGTACTAGAGGTACAATGTACGATTTCTAATATAGCCTTCGATAAAATACGCGTCATAAAGTAATCAAGATCGAAATCATGTAAGATAGGTACATATAGATATTTATAATAAATAACAATTTTGCTCCTAAACTTTAACGAACGTAAAATAAAATACCTTTTCATAAAAACCAATAAAACTGTTTAAATATTAGGTACATAATTCTGTTAAACAAAAACAATTTAGGTTATATAGGATTACAGCAACTATTTCATAAAGTTTACCTAAGTTGAGTTACGTTTAATATGTATTTGATTTATTTTATAAAATTTGCAAAAGTAACAAATCGTTTCTTTGTACTTTAAGCAATTCACTAAATTACACCACATTAAAATTCAACATGAAGAAATTCGAATGCCGGTGTCTAAATAAATTGTCAATAATTACAAAATTTAACAAATATGTGCAAATAAACTAGGAAAGTTGGCAACGTTTATGTTAATTACATTTATTATTAAACTGAACAAGTAACTAAGTGTCTAAAATATGAATAATCAAACACATATTCAGATAATGTAATATTTGCGTACGAAAGTTAGGAAGAACCGAACTATTGTATACAGACGCACCTACGGACGTGGGTCTGCGGACTATTAAATTATATTATCTATACAACCTTTGAAGTATCGATAAAATCTTCAAAATAATAAACTCTAGAAGAGCTCAATTTGTAGAGGAGCTTTAAAAATAAGATATACTTTAAATAAAACGGTACAAATATTGTAAAATTCTTAACTGTCCGACCGAGTTGGATCCCTGGAATATTTTCTTTAGTGGCTACGATAAACATTTACTCTGGATTGTATATTTTCGCAGAGCGTCGAGTACACAACTTTGTCACCGTATGTACTCCACGACTCAAACTGTAAATATTCTCTAAACACAATTCAATTTCTGAAGCCACTCCGTTACTATAATTTACTATTTTTTTTACTTTTGTATCTAAAGAGGTAATGTTTTCAAAGTTCAATATTGAAATATCTATAAAATATGAAACGAACAGCCTTATTATTGAATCAGAGGACTATGATATAAGTATTATTGGATTTTATTTCAATATAGCATTTCAAAATACTTTGAATTTGTACAGGAGAGGGGGAGTCATTGACTTTGATACATTCGATGCGTTATCGTAAACTTGTACCAACTACGATAATACATCTACATAGAGGGCTCTGTATTTGACTATTAAACAATATGATTTTATAAATTTATGGTCGACCACTAGCCAGCTCGCGAGCCGAACACACTTCACTCATTTTTGTACAATGTCACCATCAGATGATCTGGATCATAATATTTTTCTAAATATACCAACAACAGCTCGCCTTAATTACATTTTTTTTTCAAATATTTTATTATTATTATTGATTACATACATTTATTTATTCAAATGTATATTCAACTTTAAATATAATTCTATATTCGAACGAGCAAACTTCGATAAAATTAAAATTGATTAACATATGAAGTGTGATCGGTTCGTGGCCGGGACGCTTTAAAATAAGTATAGGATTCTTTGATATTATTGAGATTATGTACTATCGATTTACTGCTAAACTAGAAATATGCAATAATATCTCATTAAATATTTTCCAAGCTTCTGCGTGTGTCGGCTATATGTACAAATATCGCCATGCTGTCTCAGGTATATCTTTAGTCTTAAGGGTAAGTCAAGCAGAGGATACTAATTTAAAAATATTTTAAGAGGTATTACAACCACACAAGGCGACTGGCGACTATGGTCTGGGGATGTGCGCAAGCGACCGCGACGCTACATCGCATCGTTAAATATTTTATGAAAGCTCAAACTACTGTCAGAATTATTACGATCGGTTTTTGTACATAAAAAGCAGCTGCCAAAACTGTTTTAGCGAATCCTTTAAAATGCGAGGTTGATAGCAGTTGAAACTCGATAAATATTTTAGATAATCTTTGGATATCCAGTCTCTACATTACACGAATAAATTCTAAACAGATACGTATTATACTAAGCTTTCAATAAATACTTAAGCTGATGTTTGAAAATGTGTCTTATTGTTGAGAGCATAGAGGCCAGTCTGCCGTCCACTCAAACCGTGCCGTGATGACAATGACGTAATGAGGTGCAGTGATGCGGATGATGGCGTGACGTGCTATGAGGTGACCTATAACTACGCAACAGTAGCAACTAGTCGAACAGTCGCAACTAGTCGCAATAGTCAACTAGTTGTAGTCAGTCCAAAATGAGAACGAACACACATCTCGTCTGATTCGATAGAATACGCAAAATTTATTGTTCGACATCTAGAAAATAAAGAGATAGAAAACAAAAATAATAGTCAATTAAGTTTTAAAATAATAAGAAATACTTGACGTTGATATAGGAAAAGTTAATCGAGAAAGAAAAGGACGAACCGTCCAAAATAATGTCTAGTAGATTTTAATTACACTTCTAGTATATATTTGATCAAATTAGATTAATAAAATGAAGCCGTGTAACCACAGTCGGACCAACAAATTCTGACGTACAAAATCGAATCAGACCTAAGCAATGATCGATTAGATTAGTAAAATGTAAATGGCAGTATCGATTTAAGAAAGATAATAATGCAAAAATTTTTACCTATAAAAGTGTTCAAGTCTTCATTAGAATTATTGCCTAAACATACGGATAATCCGTCGATATCACTTTTTACTGTAGGTATACACCCATATCGCCTATCCGCACCACTTTCAAGTTGTTATTTTTTCACTATAATCACTAAACACGCACTATTACTAAGAATTATCACTTGTAATCACTTCGCGAGTAATAAGTATCAAATGTATAAAACCTTATCTAAAAGTTAACAGTAATTACTGAGTAAAAATCCGCACATCACTTATATACGCTTAGTAAATGTCGAAGCGCTATTCACTTACACATCATATATAGACATCCATAATAAGAAAAAACCCTTAACTAAATCTATTCAGAGATAGCCAAAACGTAGTCGATAATAGATAGTATAAAAATTTCATTTCTTTTTTTAAAAATTAAACGTACTTTCTCAATGATTAGCGGCATTCATTTTTTAAATATTTTTTTTTTATTATTTCAAAAGGAGTATTCCACCTTTTCTCAACTGATATGGCACTATTCCAAAAAGTTTATATTTGCTTATTTTTTTTTCATAAATCTTCATGCAGTCCGTTAATCATTGAGACATAAATATTTGAAAAGATAAGTAAAACAACAATTCGACATTACATAACCCTAGAGTACAGGTAATAATTATAGACAGGCTAATCATATTATTGGTGACACAGCAATTAGGTACTTACAATTATAATCCTCTACCATTACTGTTTAAATAAGGTATGTATGTGAAAATATAATAATAAGTAAATGAACTGATATTAAAGACGATAACCTAACATGGCATCTTTAGTAGAAGTAGACTTCCCTTACACTATAAAGTGCCATCTGGTGGGAGGAAATAAAAGTTCACAATAAACCTACGAAAATATTGTATAACACTTAAGTTAGGTTTAAAATTTTGCTAAAATAAAACATAACTAATAAACTAAATTGAACTAAACAACACTCCACTCAAACGCCCCTATCAGATAGGGTCATCAGTATCACTGAAATACAAGGTAATCAATAATTTAAAAAACTCACGCCTTTACTCCTTCAAAAGGAAATCAAGTTCTCCAATTTAAGATTGATCCGAAACAAAAAATGCAATTTCTGGCATCACTCTATCGCTAATTATTATTTTTGATAAAATCAACTCCTAATCAACAAAGTGCAGAATAAAATTAAAATAAAATCAATAGTACGATCTAAACTGACACATAAAATTATTTTCAATAATACCAACTTAATTTAACAGAAATTATTTCTAGCGTCTCGGAGTCACCGGACGCAGTAAAGTCCAAGAAACAAACATTGCAACACAGAGAAGTCCAATAGTCGCCGCGTCATATCCGTCACGTACACTCCACGAGCTTATGCGATCTGGTTCAAGATGTCGATGAAGTCGTTGGAGAACAGCTGCAGCGAGGGCTCGGCCAGGCTGGGCGTGCGGCGCGGGATGCCGCACCCGCCCAGTCGCTCCATGGGCCGCTCCACCGTGCGCTCCGCCGCCCGCTCCACCGGCTTGTTGCGCAGCGACGCCAGGTAGCGCTCGGCCAGCGTCTCGCCCAGGCTGATAGCCAGCGTCTCGGGGCTCACTCCGAGCAGAGACAACGACTCAGTTATGCTCGCAAGGGTTGGAGAAACGTACTTGGGTGTTTGTGGTTCATCGGTAAGTGGTTCAAGCACACGGGGTGCCATGCTAGTGTTGACGACGGGACGCAGCGCTGGGGGGGAGGCGCGTCGCGGTGGCGACGGAGCCAGGCCCCACGAGTCAGAAGAAGGGGGGGTGCCGGGAGAGCCTCCCGGCACCGCCGACTGTTATGGCCACTGCTGGAACAGCGGGAAGGCCCTCTTTGTGAAACAATAGCTCAGCGGCTTCACGAAGTGGGTGTCAAGCACGCGGCAGTGCGGGCACGCCATGGGGTGTGAGTAGTCCGAGTAGTTTAGCCGCTGCTGGGGGTGAAGCAGTGCCTTGAAGCAGTTGTTGCACTGTAGACAAGGAAACACAGTTTAAATATTGCTCTAGATCCATTAAGGAAAAAATATTGAACGATAACTCTAAATGACGTCTTTATGAACATTGAAACCTTACCTTCAGTCTCTCAGCGCAGCAGGGCGTGGCCATGAAGATGTCATAAGAGTACATGGTGCCGAGTACGAGAGAGGAGCCATCCCACTTCTGTCCACAGAACCGGCAGCGGATGGTGCGCTCGGGGTCGCATCGCTCCAGGCAGCCCATGCACACACACGTCAGGTACTGCGTGCGACCTTCCACTTTTACCTGCGCAATGGAAAAAAAACAGTTATCATTAACCATTAATTTCTAGAATTTTCCTGTTTATCTCACGACGTGACAATTTGAGACCTAATTCCGATAAAAGGTGAACCTGACGTGAGGTGAAATGCGTTATCTTTTGTTTTCATTTTCTCTACGTAGTTATCAATTATTTACAACTGCGCTAATGAGAGAATTATATAAGTGTAGATGATAATAAATAATTTAACAGAATTAGTTAAGAAGTTATAGAAACAAGTTGCTGTTATTAAATAATTTCGTAAGCTTCGTATGAGTGTTGCAGAAACACAGACTATAGGAGGCTCCATGCTAATTCTAACACCAAACAAAAGCGAGAAGGCGACTCGTCGTGTCTAATCCGACGAACAAATAACTCGACAAATCTTGTATGACTACGTTTGTCTTGAAAACAAACTCGCAACGTGTTATTTAAGTTTTCTGTTTTAAATTCATACTTAAAACGACCGGCTTAGTGTTGCTTTTAATTTAACTTAAGTATTTAATGTGGAAATTAATTTTGTTAAGATGTTCCTAGGATGTTTACGTTTATTAAAACAGTAAAATAGTTACCCAAACGAAAGAAGAGTACCTACCTACGTTTATATTAAGTTTCATTATGAAGTATTTAAGAATTTTGACTCAGCTTTCCGAAATAAGTAGAAAATATTTCTGCATCTATCGGCTTGATTTTCAAGTAACATTGTAAATTATAAGATACAGGGTTTATATCGATGCTAGAACAAGTTTATACCTCGACAGCGCCGCTGGTATGTTGTCGCGGGCTTAGGAAGAAAGTGCCGTCCACAAGCGGATACCGGTCGAAAACGTGCAGGGTCTCTTTGCACAGAGCGCAGGTTACCCTCGGCTTGTGCTGACCCGCCAACGTCGACAGGATGAACAGCCGCGTGTCATCGTTGCCATGGTTACCCTCATCTTCGATCTGTAACAAACGAATAAACCGTAAGAAATTATTGCCATTAAAAGAACGTCTTGCAAGCATAACGATAACAACGCTAATAACCATAATATTCTATACCAAAAACAATAGACAAACGCGACCCCTCTCGCCTAGAGCGCAGACGATATAGTAAATCCACGCCCGCAATTTCAATATTTCATATCCCCACATTTACATATTACGATTAATGCATCCACCCACGACACTTACCGCAGCAACTCTCCCTTCGTAATAACACAAGTAAATGACTGCATAAAGTTGAATAATGAAAGGCTGAAAGGCAATTACGCTGAATTCGGAGTCGAAGTCAAACAAAGGCTCACGAGCCACGGAGATCGATTGTGAAGCACAATTCGTTCACGTACGAGCAAATTGTGAGAGAGAATAATAATGAAAGTTTAACGAGTTACTGTTGCAGCGTAGGCACAGCGGTACCGCCTTAATTAAACATAATATTATGAGCTGTCAAAGCGTAATACGTCCAATACCATTTTCTACCGACGTATTGATTAACAAAGCATTGTTCCACGTTTGGATACATGCTCAAATCCCTGGCATTAGTCAGCCAAAGCCGTTCAACATCTGAAATTAATATCATCGGCCAGCTAATTGTCTGCACGCTGACTAAACATGAAACAGAATGTGAGACGCATAAGTAAGGAACTCTTCTTACATTCCAGTGTGCATTTATTGATGCTAAGCATTCCTATCTATTATTAGAGTGACGTCGTGACACCAGGAACACATAAAACGTACCCGGCGAGAGCGTTGACCTACGCAAACAAACTCAGTATGATTTGCAGTATAGTGCAGTGCAGTTTGCCAAGAGACGAGCGGGCGGGGGCGGGCCATCCGGCATGGCAAACACCGCCGCGATATCTTGCTACCCAACTCCAACCAACGCCGTCTATTCCGGTCGTGTCGAACATTTTGTTATTTAACCGATGATCATAACATTCGCAACCGTATGTTAATGCTCCTCTCCATTTGTAAATTGCGATCCTGGTGTTGTCGCCTGGACGTGATAAATAACTGGTCGCGCGAGTGCCGCCTGCTCGGGACTCGCGTGATTGATTCAACCGAGCAGCTGCTCACACGACACATAGGTACTTTATGATTGATAACACTGAATCGCAGGACCACTCGTTGCCTGGGAGACACGACACGCCGAGTGGCTAATGAAACGTCTATGAATTACTGTGTTAATTAAAACGGCGCTAGACTCGACGCCTTAGGACTAATGAGTGACAATTAAATTGTTAAGTGTCGCGCACACGACAGTTTAGTGAGGTTGCAGGTCTAGGGCGACGAACCCGCAGTGACTGTTGCAAACTTGCACAATTTACTTTTGTTCTGGAAGATTGATGAGCACTCCGACGCAGACTATTTATTTACTCAATCCGATCACGCTTTGTCTCGCAATCGTCGCCTTTTATAGTTGTCTACGATGACTCGACGTGGCAGTAAACCGGCACATAAAACTTTCAGCCGAGTTTAGGTAAGTGCATGTCCCCGTACTCCGCGTAGGTAAAACCAGTCGCCGACCGCAAATATACGAATAGAGCAGAAAGCGATTTGGTCTAGTATGGAGTCAGTTAACAAGAGCGGCTCGAGCCATTCAGTGGCGTAGACGATCGTAGCTTCCTCTAATTACGTCTACTGAATTTACATAGTGCGGAGAAACTTGGCAGCCAGTAAACTTTGCGGTTTCAATGGTGTCGAAACGCCCCAATCCCGACCACCATCCTCGGAGCGGCTTCCGTAAAGGAATAGTTTAAAAATAAAATTAATCTGAAACAAAGAATTTAACTTTTGGCGAAATAATGTGTATAGTTGGGGCACGCTGTCGCACAAATTTAATCGAGGTACTGTTCGTTTGTTTCGATGTTCAAACAACAAGAGCGAGAAGAGCTCGTTTCAACGAGGAGACGAGAGCTGCAGAGAGTGCTCGAAGCGTCGTTAGTACTTCACGTTCCGCAGAACGAATGTACACACATTAAAACTTTCCGAATTGAAGGTGACGCAATAATTAAAGAGGCGTGCGGGGTGCCACACTGCCACCCCACATGCGCAGCTTTTATCGCGCTCAGGAAACGTAAAACAACCGTATCAGATAAACATTACTTACATTACAGCCCCCGATACAACTACTTAAGTCGACAAAAACAAACAACGGCTCTCTCCTTCACAATGTAGCCGTCAAATATCAACAAACGTTTTCCATATTTGCTCCAAAGTAAAATAAAAATAGAGAGAACGGAGTGGATTCGCCTTTCATTTGTATTTTCTCTTAATAAACAGTTACGAAGGTATTCGCGCTACATTGTCAACATGGTTTCCTATTGTTTTAGTATCTATGCACTCTGTAAAACGTTTGCGAACAAGCTTTTATAATAAAACGGCAGACATTGCAGACGTTAGGTTGAATAACGACGATTAATCTGGATTGCACCCAGCGGTGGCTTATTTTTAATTAGCCAAATGAAACTTTTCCTATTATATTTTGCCGTCGTCGGCACTCAACACTCGAATGTAGTAAAGATAAAAATTAAATACAAAACGAAACGGTGGAGAACGCTGAAAGACCGAGGAAAAATGTGAAACTTCGCCGCAATCCAATTAGCCGCAACAAGATATCCAATACTATGGATCTGATAGCAGTTAAATTATTTAATTGAATTTTAAAAGGCTGGTTTCTTGCTGTATTAAGAATGTCGATTGCAATTCTGAATGAAGAAGTTATTGAGACGTTGAAATATTTGGAGTGATGGTGGAAGGGGGGAAGCAATTTTTCACCAGTGCCATCTCAAACAATAAGTCTGCGGGCGGTTGGCGAATGGTATTTGTGGTGTTCGATACATTTATCGTGACGGCTGCGTTGCGTTCCGCTTCGTGTTTGCCATTGTCTGAGAGCTTCACGTTAATACTTTGCTCTTTGTATCAGAAAATGCATTCTCTAGTAATGCAATTGGAGGATTTTGTACAACTTTCCTGCGCATTCGTGCTTTCTCAACAAGGTTTTTGTTGAACCTTTGTTTAGGAAACATACATTAACCTCGTAAACTAGGTTTATTTAATGTAGGTGTAAGTACAGAAAGTTTTATCTTGTTAGATAAATGAGAATGGCTCAGTGAATGCTATCTGAATCACAGTTACCTAGCTCCAGTGCACAGGGCAACGCAGATTACAACTTTCTAAAGGAAATTATGGTTTTATTCCATCACGGTAGTTATTCTCAAGCGTAACTTGTCTGCTCATCAGTATTCGACTGTCAAAGGACGCAGCGGTTTATGTAAATCTCGAGCATTTATTACGCTTGCAACTCTGTAAACGTCGATACTCGAGGCGAGCGGGGAATTCATGAAGCGAACAATTTGTTAATCTTCGCAAAGAGAAATACCTCAAAGCGGAACGTGAGGGCCGGCATTGAAGGCATCTCGTGAACAGATCCTCGCAAAATTCCGAATACATACGCGTTATAAGTGTAAATTCTCGCAAAAATTCAAATGTCTTTAAAGATATTTTCTCGCGTGAATTAGTCGCGTCCCGACATTCCACATTACGCGGTGATGCTCGCGATATGAATGCCGAGATATTGTCGAGTGACAAAAAGCATCTTAATTCGTCGCTAACTAGCGTCGAGAAACTCCTACGTGCAGTACATATATCTTAGAAGATCGTAGACTTGAACTATGCAACAGAGTCGTTATTATTTTATTGCTTCGTCTCCGGGGGATATGAAGTGTCTAAAGGACTGAGTTGCGAACTTAAGTAAAATTTAGATTCAAATGGGTGTTAAAAATGTTCGAACGAACTGAGTGGGTGTTCGGAGATGTTTTGATGCGATTTTGATGAGGTTCCACGTCGGGTGCCGCCGCGACTGAACGGTGACATTTTTATTAAAATGCTGTCGGACAATAAAACGAGTGTTCGATGAACGAGATGTCGTAAATTCGTCGGAAGGTAATTGATTGTGGCCCTGTCCGAATTCACCGACATGTTTGAATGGTGCAATTGGAATGAAAAAACGCGATATTGCTAAAAGAATGGGAACGTTGTGAATGTTTCGTTGTTTGTGTTGAGCCGCAGACGAGACGTTTCGTTCTTGCTACATGGAAAACTACTTATCCTAACTTCGTTTTATCGTTAACTCGAATGTTATGTCAGTTAGTGCCCATTCAGCGAACGCGTCATTAGTGCCTCGTAGATAATGCCCTTGTGTTTTATACTTAAAACATTTTATAAATGAAATACCCGTTTCAATTGTTATTTGCTACTTCCATTGTCTAGTCGTTGTTGATCCTTAAAATATAAGATGTCTAATTGTTAAGTAATGTATGACATTCCAGAATCAATCCAAGTCTTCCGTTGTTGTTAATAATTAACAAACAAAAAGTAACCTATAATAAATTATGAGCTATTTCTTTTCTCTTACTGAAGTTATTATAGTAACTTTCCAATGAAAGATTTTAAAATCTCCATCTCCAATTAAAACATCAATCTCGTTCGTAGCTTAAACAAACCTTTGGAAAGTAAACATGAAACAATCAGAAAAATTGCTTTTCAATATCCACAAACATTCATTCCTATGTTTCCAGGACTATCCATCACTTTAGGGTACCTATTTTGAGTCCAAACTCATTCGCTTAGTAAACATCAGTGCCGCGTTCTATGTTAGTTTTCCGTGCATACACTAACATGCAACGTTCGTACATACTGTATGAAGATGCATCATATACTTGTTAAATGTTTAACGAACTAACAAAAACCTGTCTAGCTTACCTTAATAAAGACAGAATATTCTAGATCAAATGTTTTAACCAACATTTTTTACCTTGTTTGTGGTTTTTTTCGTAAAAAATCTTGCATTATTTCTCAATCACCCCTTTCTACACTTGGTCCAGTTACAAAGTACCACCCATTCACAAGTTACCGAAAAATCGAGAATTCGAACAAGAAAAAGTCAATCGATTTGTTAAGATCGTTTACTCGTAATCGTTTCGCCATAAGGAAATATTTACACTAAAGCGAGTTGTGAGTGTTGTTGCGATAATCTGTCAACGTGGTCGGACACGTGCGTAAGCGCCGGCAGCTGAGTCAACACATTCATGTATGTAGAAATGGATGTCTGTTAGTCCGTCTAAGATATAAGTAGACATCGGATCTTATCTTTATACTCGATAGCAAATAAATAACAAGTAAAATGTATCAGTATTCGCGTTCATTGGTACAAGTTCTGACCTGCCTGTGATCTGTCTCTCATTCAGTTTACGATTCAAATTATATGTTGTCTTTATTCGTACTTGTTTGCATTATTATAATACGTACTACAAATGGTGTTTCGGCTATTAATCCCGAGCCAAATGTCCCAAGTTTTAGATTAAGAACTATTTGAGAAAATATACGAGCTATATGTCGTCTGAATCGTTAGTACTGCCAGTAAACATCTTTATTATTTCCAACTGCAGCCGTATTACCCGTAAATTGTATTTTTAAAGCATGGTTTTAGGGTCTGAGTCATGTTTTGACGTCGCCAACAGTAATCGGGCGATGAAAAATAGAGCAAACATGCGGTTGTACGGATATGAAATATTCTTTCACATAAAGTAACATAATTTTTTCAATGTTTATGAATTCACTGATAAAATATTCGACTTATGACAGCTGAAAGTATCAGAAATTATTACTTTACATATCAAAATTCATAACAAACATTAGAATAATCTCAGTAACTGCTTGTAAAACAATAAATTTCGCAGTGGATGTATGAAAAAAGGATATCAGTCGTGGTTTTGGTAGTTGTCCAAGCATGAAGCGGTTCTCAGAAACATTTGTTTTACGACTGCTCACAAGCCACATTACGCACCGACTAGTGACTAGGTAAATCATCCGAACGTTAATTTTATGCCTTCTGGAAAACACAGATCGCAACAAAAATCAAAAAAGATCTCCAAAGCTAGAATGACGTTTTTATTGCAAGTAATACATCACGCCTTTTATCCCCGAAGGGGTAGGCAGAGGTGCACATTATACCACTGTATAAAGTAACACCCACTTTTCACTATTTATGTTATGAGTCCCATGTAATAGGGGGTGAGCCTATTGCCATATACCGGGCACAATTCCAGACTCCGTGCTACTACTGAGATTTTTTTTAAAACCCAGTAATACTTTGCCCGACCCGGGAATCGAACCCGAGACCCCTTGCCCGGCAGTAGCACTTGCGACCACTCGGCCAACGAGGCAGTCTATTGCAAGTAATCTCTTATTTTATTACTAGAAGTATTAAATCTTTTGTATAGTTACTGGTATCATTTTAGATTGTAATACGCATGCACATTTTATGAAGATGGCCTGAAAGGTATCTGTTGAGACATAAAGGGGTGTTAATTTATTCGATTTATTCAAACTCAAATAATTTGTAATGTCAAAAGTCTAGGAACTTACAGTAGCGTATTATTCACGAATAAATCGAAACAATTGTGTTATAGTTCTGAAAAGTGTAGCATGAATTTGAATAGGCAATGTTCCGAATTCCGGCTATTTATTTACTAAAACTTCAAGGCCCCGATGTTTCGGATATGTTTGGTGCAAATTCTCTCAGTATCTCATACAGCAGACGATTAAAATTGACTTTAACTCTTTGAGTAGGTACCGTCATTATAGACACAATTAAAAAACAATAGGTTGCGGTCACCGGTGTCCTCGCGGTGTTTGACAGTTTAATTAAACCACAAACAAATTATAGACTGCCTCGGGGTCAAGGGGTCTCGGGTTCGATTCCCGGGTCGAGAAAAGTATTACTGGGTTTTTAAAAAAAATCTCAGTAGTATCACGGAATCTAGAATTGTGCTCGGTATATGGCAATAGGCTCACCCGCTATTACATGGGACTCATAACATAAATAGTGAAAAGTGGGTGTTACATTGTACATTGGTATAATGTGCATCTCTGCCTACCCCTGTGAGGATAAAAGGTGTGATGTTATGTTATGTTTATGTTATGTTATGAAACCACGTAATATTTTCTAGAGTAAATATTGATTGACTCAACCTACTAGACGTTCAAAACGTGTCAAATAAAGTCAGAAATCGAACACCTAAGGCAGGCTACGATTTATTCCAATATTGTTATCCTCTGACCATATAAACAGCGAAAACTATACACGGACTATAAATAAATATCAAATTAACTACATACACAAGTAAACTAGTAAATAATTCACATTGATTGTCACAAGGCGTTGTTTATAACAACATAAATCCGTTTGATAAGTATCCGTATTTATTGTATGAATAATTGTAATGAATAGACAAGTTTACATTCCTATCGGCTAGTTCACTAGCGCCACTGAACGGTACCAAGGGCTTTCATAACGGTTTTACAGACAGTACTGTTATTTTTTTACTTAAGTTGCAATTGCAGCTGTTTCTTTACTTAGAAGTTTATAGCGGATTAAAAATAATTCATCTTAGGGACCAACATTTTAAGTCATGGGTAATAATTATCGATAACAGCGCCAATTTACAAATCTGTAAAGACGGGACAATCGTCAAAATTGGTCAAGCTGTTTAGGAGGGTGCTGTGCACATATATAAAACTAGCGGACCCAACAGACGTTGTCCTGCATATCCACTTGAATGTCCAATGAAATCCAAAACAAAAATTCATTCAAATTAGTTCAGCTGTTTAGGATAAATAACCTAAACTTCGACTGCAGCGCCATCTGATTTGTGAATCTAAACCATTCCCAGATCCCCTTAAACTCAAACAAAAAAAAATGATGAAAATCGGTCCAGTCGTTTGAGAGAAGTTCAGTGACATACACACCCACAGAAGAATTATACATATATATAAAGAAGATGTGTGTTCGAATCAGAGACTGTTTTGTTAAGGAGTTGTTTCGTTGACCAATTTCACATGTTTTTTACCTATCTACTGACATCTGTTATCAAAAGCAACTTACCAGAAGTAAGCCACAACAACTTCATTTAAAATATCGTGACCTTTAGGTATCAAGACTTCTTAACAAACAATAAATTAATAAATATTTCGACCGAGAATGAAATATAATCCGACAGTGCAACAACTCCTTTACTAATCAGTGACTTCACTTGTTCAAACAATAGGTATTATACAATAGTCTAATAGTGTCTGGTAGTGCTTTAAACCTTGCGTCAGGTCTATTATTATCTTACCTAACAATCAAGTGGAATTATTATGACTGACTTAAGTTTTGATAAGGAAAATAACAAAGGTTTTGTTAAACTAGGAAAATAATTCAATGGAATTTGTCAATAAATTGCCGTTGTAAAAAATGTGTAAGGAACCCGTTTGTTTAAGGAGATAGGCTCACGGACCCCAAATGAGTGACAACGTTTTTATTTTTATTAATCGTATTTATTTTTAGACTTTTTAATTGATTTTTATTTTTAG